TGTTACTCCCTTCTCAGCGCCATATTGTGGGGGAGCAGATGCATAGAATAAGTCTTAATTCCAGTGACAGTCTAGTCCGAGTTGCTCCCCACACATAGGGACCCAGGTCTCTGCAGACACGGTTGCAATGGAGCAATGCTGTGTCTGGTTTGTACTTCGTAAGCATATACTGACCATGCCCAGTCAACTCTGCCACAGCATCCCAGGAGGGTCAGTTTACAACCTACCTGAAGCATGACTGGGTTCCCTAGGCTCATTTCCTGCCTTGTCCCACAGTAAATGAAAGTTGCTACCCCTCCAGGAGGTCAGATTTTCCAACTACGAAAGAATTCTGCAATCCCACTGTGCATCGCGTGGCGAGTTTACCGAAAACGCCAATCCTGGGCTTCAGTTCTAGACATTCTGACTCACATTGGAATACATTGCCCAAACTATTCAGAGACTGAGCGTGCCTGGACCATTCTGTGAGAAGCCCACCTGAGGCAAGGAGAGGCAGATTAATTAACAGCCTTGTGACTTGTGATAAATATTCTAAGAGGAAAGAGAGCAGAGAAAAATCGGGTTGCAAAGATCTCTACCTGAGTCCCATTAGGGTCAAACAGTTGACCACTCCACACATTAAACAAGTATATGGACTAAAAGGATATGGGTGTCATTATCAGGTCAATTTAATTTTTTAAGGAAAAAGTTATTTACTTAGGTAAAGAAATTTGAACTATCAAGCTGCCAGTTTTTGAAATGCCAATGTCTTTACTTAATGTGTAAAATACTAATCCTAGAGAATAATGAACCCTCTGCATTCAGAATCAACTCGTTTCTCCCAAATACAAATGGCAAATAACCTCAGTGTGACCCTTTAAAATAAATACCTATTTTCACACTTGCCTTTTTGCAAGAATCTTTCTTATTTCTGGAACCCTTATGGCTAAATTCATTGTTGGGGAAATGACAGACCCCGAAGACAAAAGTGAGCAGATAAACGTGTTGAGACTGGAAAACTCTGCTGTCAACGACTTCAGTAAAAGGCAAAATCACCAAAGGCAGCTATTTGGTTGAACAGAAATATTCAAATAAAGGCAAGATTAACATTCAGCTACTTTATTCCTTTTTTTAAAAAAAAAAAATCCTGCTATTTTCCCCTGTGTTATTATAAACGTGGACAGGTAGGAACCTGCACAAACAGTGAGGCATGCAAAGGTGACCGGCGTGTGTTGGATTCTTGAGGTAGATGGCTTGTCTTCCTCTAGCGTCTATCCAGCAGTCAGGTGGTTAGGATTGCTTCACAGATAATAATTTCCGCAGGGGAGTTACTCACTCTGATGGCAAAGTCTCCTGTGATTGGCCCCAAGTAACCATGGCCGGACGCCACGTGAAATTTCCCCTCCAGAAGAATGTCTTGCCCGTTGCCACATCCCAGACAGGGTGGCTTCAAGTCTACCTGCCCCCCCACCCCGCACCCGACTCAGCCCTCCATCAATGAGAGCAAAAGCCCTCGTCTTGAGCCTCCCCTTCTCTGTCTGTTCCGGCCAGCGATTCCCACCTGGCTATCGGTTGGTGCCCCGGGGTTAAGGCTGCCGTGCAGCCTGACTTAGCAGCGCCTGCAGCTGCCCAGCGAGCAGTTTTAAAGATTCTTAAAACCAAAATGACTTCTTCGTGATGCAGAATTTGTCTTGCTTTCTGGCAAGTCCTACAGGAGAGAGGCAGGAAGCGAGCAGGCAGAGGAGGCAAGATGGGGGACATGGAAAGTGTACCCCAGGAGGCTTTGAGCCTCTCTTCTCCTCCTCTAGTATCCTCTAATCTGACAGCTGACCTTTGAAATGGGCCCACCTACCTCTTCTAGCTCTTTATCTTATGATCTATTAAAAATAATATTTATGTGTAACACATTGTGAGCCAAAATAAGGCTCCAATCAAGAGAAGAAAGATTTGGTCATGTGTGCATACATTATAGAGTGAGGCAAGCATGTGGAGCCTTGAGCCAAGTGTGTATCAGCCATTTTTATCCACTCAAAATTCATCTCCTTCTGGCCCGTTCTATGCCAGGCACTGGGCTGAAAGGAGAAGTCCCAGTGAGTACTACCTTCATCTCACCCACACTGAAAAAAAAATGCAGCCTCAACTTCTACCTGGCACATGTATGCACTGACGCTTACAAAAATGTTCTTTCATTTCCTGCCTCTGCTATCTCGAAGGACTACTTCCTGTGTTTTCACAGTGCTGTAGAATGGTTCACTGGCAGCAACCCTCAGGCACTGGTGCGCGCTGACGCGGGGCTGTCACCCAGGGTTGACACTGCGGTCGGTCAGCGTGCTGTGCTCCAGCACTGAAGCCCACGTTTGTGATTTCAAGTTGCGCTCCTAATCAAAAGGGTAACTCCAACAACCCTTTCCTGATTTTTTCTTTTTTTTTTTTAAAGATTTATTTTATTTATTTGAAAGACAGAGTTACAGAAAGAGGTAAAGACAGAGAGAGAGAAGTCTTCATCTGCTGGTTCACTCCGGATGACCGCAATGGCTGGAGCTGCACTGATCCGAAGCCAGGAGCAAGGAGCTTCTTCCAGGTCTCCCATGGGGTGCAGGGGCCCAAGCACTTGGGCCACCTCCACTGTCTTCCCGGGCCACAGCAGAGAGCTGGATCGGAAAAGGAGCAGCCAGGACTAGAACCAGCGCCCATATGGGATGCCGGAGCTTCAGGCCAGGGCATTAACCTGCTGCGCCACAGCGCCAGCCCCTCCTAATTTTTTCTGTATGTTCCAATGGCCAGCGATACAGAGGTACAACTTTAGTACAAACGACACAAAATTGTGCTCACCAAAATTTGAATACTTTCATTTGCTTTTAAGTTTGTTGCTTTAATTATAATAAAATACGAATTCAGGTGTCTTCATTTTAGACTGCTTCACGTGGATGGACGAGGTGGCTCCTTGTGAGTGACTTCTCGGGCGCGGGAGTAGGACGGGCTGCTCTGACACAGGCTGCCGAGTCCCACAGCCAGTGCAGCCGGCCGGCGGAGGAATTAATGAGGTAATTAGGCTATGAGTGTGGACCAGAGAGACTCAGATAAATAATTTAATTCTAATCTTTTCCTTTAATATTTAAAAGCTGGGTGATGAGGGAGTTGGGGCTGTTCCTTCTGGTACCCATAAATTACAGGGGTAACTTCCAGCCTAGGTTTACGCTGAATCTCAGAGATCAGATTAGCAATAAAAATGACACTATTGCCTAGGATTTTTGACTCGTAATCAAATGTTCTCTCCACTACAATATGATATTCTGGTCTATGGCAAAACATTCTGATGGAAAGAGAATTTTGGCCAGCGCCACGGCTCACTAGGCTAATTCTCTGCCTGTGGTGCCGGCACCCCGGGTTCTAGTCCCGGTCGGGGTGCCGGTTCTGTCCCTGTTGCTCCTCTTCCAGTCCAGCTCTCTGCTGTGGCCCGGGAAGGCAGTGGAGTGCTTGGGCCCTGCACCCCATGGGAGACCAGGAGAAGCACCTGGCTCCTGGCTTCGGATCAACGTGGTGCACCGGCCACAGCAGCCATTGGGGAGTAAACCAATGTCAAAGGAAGACCTTTCTCTCTGTCTCTCTCTCACTGTCCACTCTGCCTGTCCAAAAAAAAAAAAAAAAAAATAGAGAGAGAAAGAAAGAGAATTTTATATAGGACACAGAGGTAAAAAAAAAAAACAAAAACAAAAACAAAAAAAAACCCAAGGTCTAGCATGGAATCCCCAGTCATGCTTAAGCTTCCATTTCCAAGATGCAAGTGTCCCCGGCTGTCTCCCACGGCAGGTTTCTCGGTGGCGACCCATGTGTGCACACGGAGCAAAGCGGAGGAACGGCTCACTCCTCTCCCTGGCTTGCTGCAGGCTGAAATGCACCCAAGCCTCTCTCGCTTGAAAATCAGCGTGGAGGCAGAGGCAGCACCCGCAGGGTAGCTCCGCATTCACAGCCCCGCTGCTCTTCCTCATGTGAAACCCAGAGTGACTGCAATCCTTGACCTCCGGGTTCACCCCACCATGCTCCACGTGAAGAGCAAGGCTGAGATGAGCAATTGCTTGTCTACATCGCTTGCTAGCCTATTCTACAGACCCGTGATAAAACCTGACACAATTTAAATGCAACTTAAAAACTTGCTTTCAGATATCATTATAAAAATCAGGCCAATAATTAATCAATAAAACTAAAGTTCCATGAGGAGACGAGAAATTCAATTGCTACAATGGCTCCCTCCAAAACGTTTATCACATTTTTCTCCTTTTCTGGACGTGATGGATGACAGCATCAAACTTCAAGAAGTGGAGGTAATTCTGTGTGGAACAATCAATTAGAGGGGTCAAATTATGCCATCAATCATCTGTATCTAGATATTCCACTAACATTTACAAGCTGATAAAAGTTTTGGCTCTCTAGCTGGTCCCCATAAATTATATTCACAACACCCAAACTCTGTGAAGTGTTCAACCTCCATTTAAAAACTTTTGAAATTGCATTGGCAAGAGTATGGCAGGCAAAGATTGAAGTCCGAGGCAACACCAGCCAAAAGGTAAAGTTCGATTTGAACCAGAGCCATCAGATCTTGTTAAAATATGCTTAGCATGCAAAGTCTTTGTCTCCACCTAAGGTATACGAAATTGTGAGAATTCAATGGGGGTGACTGAAACAAAGTAAAGAAAAATTCTGAACTGCCTTTGATTTGACATATCTAGAAGATACATGTAGCGATTTTGTGTTTGGTGTTGAGTCCTGTACACCTTGTTGCTGTAGATGCAACACTTAGCTTTCTGTGTATCTCCGTGATCTTTCACATACGAGATGAAAAGACACTATTTAGAAGCATGTTTGCTGAACAGCACCTGTTACAAATTGATAAGTACAGTGCATATGGCCACAAAGTCCCACCAGATTTCCTTCCTTCTCCCTGCTCCTGGAATTTTGTCAATTATTCCTTTTAAAATAACCAAACACTATTTAGATTTAACTATTCAGTTTCAGTGTCCTCCTTCATCAGCTGCTATATTTAATTCATGGTTTTTTCCTATGGCTCATTTGTATTTTGCGAGAACCTATCCTTTAGTAATTCTTTCATTTTGAATTTTAGAACTTTAGAAATTGTGTGGATGGTGAAGTTCATAAGTCCTGGCACGTCTTAATATTAGTTTACAGTGATTGATGCAGAATTATTTTCCCACAGAAATTCTGAGGATGTCTCAGTATTTTGCATTCAGTGTTACTGATGGAAAGTCAATAGAATATATTGACATAGCATGCGGTAAATTTTAAGTTTAAAGGGTGAAAGTGGTAATGGAATTCACGGTGTTTGTAGTGAGTTATTAATCTGGGCAAAGAGGAAGGGGTGGCCTAAAGGGATGTGACTGAGAATTTAAAAGAGATGGAATCAATGGCTTGAGCAGCCCAGCAAGGTCAAAACCTAGAGCAGCATACAAAGGAGCTAAGACGATCAAGATTACATGAGCCTGGCTGGGCCGTGATGCACAGATCTTTGGCCAGTTATCATTCTGGATTTTCTGTAAGGGTGTTTCTGTATGAGATGGACATTCAAAATCCATGTGCACTGAGTAAGGCAGGAAATCCTCGGTATTTTGGGCGGCCCTTATGTAGATGAAGTGAACTTACGGCCTGACTTTTCCTGGGCGGGATGACCTGGGCTTTTCAATGGGTCTCCGGTCTGGGTGCACACCTGCGGGTTTGGACCTGCCAGAATTCATGAACACAGGAGTCATTCCTTAAAGTGAGTCTTCTCTGTCTCTCCCTCCACATGTGCAAACATTCTGTTGGTTCTGAAGAACCCAGACCAGTACAGAAGGTGGGTGAGCAGCACAGGAGGGCGTGGCCAGAAGGTGAAGCTGAGGGCTTTTTATTAAACCATCTGAATGAATACACATCACCTCTGGGAGGCTGAAAGCATAAAAAGCTTGGCCCATTCAAGGCTTAATAAAGCAGAGAGAGAATATAGTGACATGTGGTGTTTCTGTGTTTTAGCGTGTGAAGATTCATTCTTTCTGAAGGGTAGTCTACAGATGATAAAAAAATAATAATAGAGTTCACTAGGCTAATCCTCCTCCTGCGGTGCCAGCACCCCAGGTTCTTGTCCCAGCTGGGGTGCCAGATTCTGTCCCGGTTACTCCTCTTCCAGTCCAGCTCTCTGCTGTGGCCCGGGAAGGCAGTGGAGGATGGCCCAAGTGCTTGGGCCCTGCACCTACATGGGACACCAGGAGGAAGCACCTGGCTCCTGGCTTCAGATCGGCGCAGCACGCCAGCTGTGGCGGCCATTTGGGGAGTGAACCAGTGGAGGGAAGACGTTTCTCTCTCTCTACCTCTCTGCCTGTCAAATAATAATAATAATAGAAATAGATAATGATAAAGATGGTGGTAGCAGTAGCAACGCTAATGTGAATGTGTCAGACTCTGATAAGCACTTCATGTACATTATCCCATTTAAATTTGCAAGAACGCTGAGATAAGCAAACTAGTTAGGAGCATTTCAAAGGTTAAGAAACTGACACTTGTAAAGGTCAAACAAATTGTCCAAGACTGCACAACAGCTAAGTATGAGTGTGCTGACGGGAGCCAGATCTGCTTTGTCTGACCACTCACCCCTAGGCAACAAGCACCAGTCTCTACCTTAGTCTTCATTCCCACGCCCCTTTCCCTTGTGTGGTTCGGTTGCACTCCCCTCCCGTGTCACTAACTAGATGTTCACTCCTGGGAAACTCACATCGCCCCTCCCGACCTCACTTCCTCCTCTTATGCTGTGAGGGGGTTGGCCAAGATGCCCCCAGGCCCCTGCTGGTCCCTTGTTTGAAGATCTGCATTTGCCTAACATTAGCTTCCGTATTGCATTAGTTTTCTATTGCTACGTAATAAAATTACCACAAACCCAGTGGATGCAAGCAACAGAAATTTACCATAAGTTTCCTTGGTCCAGGGTTCAGGCACAAAAATGGCTGGGTTCTCTGCTCAGAGCGGAAATCACGATACCGCCTGTTTCTGCAAACGCAGCTGAGCTCAGAGTCCTCCCTCAAGTGCATCTGTTGCTGGCGAAGTTCAAAGCCTTGCAGAGCAATGCTATTGATTTCTCGTGGCTGTCAGTCAGGATTGCCCCCAGCTCGTCAGAGGCCACCTGTAGTGGTGTGTCCTCTTCCCGGTGCAGCTTCTGCCTGCAGGGACAGCAAGAGACGGTCTCGGTCTTCTCCCTCCCTCTTCCTGGAACCCCGTGAACAGGGCCAGCTGATTTGATCAGACCCATCCGCTCTCAGGGGAGATCAGTTATGGGATGTACATACTAAGGACCTGGAACCTTGGGAGGCATCTTAGAATCCCACCTACTGTAGCACCATAAGCATCCCAGGGTTAGGCCCATTGGAAAGCACCTGACAAGGTGACCATCCTTAGAATGAATGGCTGAGTAACGCTTCATCAGATGATTTCTTTTTTTTTTTTTTTTTTTAATTTTTGACAGGAAGAGTGGACAGGGAGAGAGAGAGAGACAGAGAGAAAGGTCTTCCTTTGCCGTTGGTTAACCCTCCAATGGCCGCTGCGGCCGGTGCGCTGCGGCCAGCACACTGCGCTGATCCGAAGCCAGGAGCCAGGTGCTTCCCCTGGTCTCCCATGGGGTGCAGGGCCCAAGCACTTGGGCCATCCTCCACTGCACTCCCGGGCCACAGCAGAGAGCTGGCCTGGAAGAGGGGCAACCGGGACAGAATCCGGCGCCCCAACCGGGACTAGAACCTGGTGTTCCAGCACCGCAAGGTGGAGGATTAGCCCAGGGAGGATTAGCCTAGCGAGCTGCGGCGCCGGCCAGATGATTTCACTACGACACAAACATCACAGACTGTCCTAATAAAAACCTAGACAAACAGGAAATGTCCGAGGCTGCTGTTATGTAGCAGGGCACAAACTTACAAAAGAACACTCTACTGCACTGATAAAAGTAGAGTATGGTTAATACATGAACCAGGAACAGAGTCACTTATAATCACTAGCAAGGACTTTATATAACAGTACATGCTACACTTTTATACGACAGGCAGCATGTTAGGTTTCTTTAACCAGCATCATCACAAATGCATGAGTGTTGGTGTTGGTGCTGGTGTTGGTGCTGGTGTTGGTGTTGGTGTTGAGATGGCTGTAACCAGCCGAGGGGACAGGAATTTTTCAGCTCTATTATAATATGATGGAACCACTGGTGAATAGCAAATAGCAAATAGGCAGTCCCTCATTGACTGATCATTACATAATATGTGACTGTACACACACATTTCCTTAGTACATAAATATTCACACTTACATGTATGACGGCACTTCAAAAAGTTCATGGAACATGGAATTAACACATAAGTTTATTCTGCTACAGACATTTGCTGAGATACATGCAGGTTTTCATAATGTGTGTTTTACATGAACTTTTTGAACACTCTTCTTAAACACGGATTTCAGATTTCTTTGCTCCAAAATAAGCTATTCATTCCACTTTTCCGTGGACTTTTGCAAGTGATCTGTGCATGTGGGTGTACATGTTACACACACGTGAAGAGAAAGGAAGAGAGTTTAAGGAACTGGCTTGCATGATCTGGGGGTCTGGCTAGTCGGAATCCTGCAGTCAGATCAGCAGACTGAAGGAAGAGGTGCTGTGATGCTGCCGTCTTGGGTCCGAGGCAGGATTCCAGAAATCCTTCCTCCCTGGGGACAGCAGTCTTCTCTCCTTAAAGCTGTCAGTTGGGTGAATGAGGCCTACCCGTGCTTTGGAGATTATCTGCCTTACACAGTCTATTAATTCACAGGTAACTGCACCCAAAAATTACCTTCACGGCAACATCTCGACTGAGTTTTAACCAGCAGCTGATAGCGCAGCCTAACCAAGCTGACACACAGAATTGGCCATCACAGCCTGTATGTAAGGTGACAGGTGGGACAGCTGTTGTGGTGGCGCAGGTTAGGCCACTGCCTCGGCTGCCCACATCCCCTATCAGAGTGCCAGCTCGAGTCCCACCCACTACACTTCTGATGCTTGTGGGAGCTCTGGATGGAGCTCCTGGCTTCGGTCTGGCCCTGCCCTGGCTGTTGCCAGCATTTGGGGAGTGAACCAATGGATGGAAGGTGTATGTGTGTGTGTGTGTGTGTGTGTGTGTGTATGAATACGCCATACATAAGATATCTTATATGATATATAAGATAGATATCTTTCAAGTAAATAAATAAAACTTTTTTAAAAAGTGACAGCCACACTCAGTTCTAGCCAATTACATTGCTGCAGGAATGGAGGTCCAGCAATACAAGATTTTATTTTATATAAATATCAGTCTCTTGGTGATAGACCATAATGACCATAATAATAGTGGTTGTTTTTCCTTTCCTTGCAATAATTTTCAAACATGCAAGCGAATGTGTAGGATAATATGCCCATTGCCTGTTTATCTACCACCACCTCTGTCGACTGACAGTGTCAATCATGTTAGACTTCTGTTTTGTTTTTAAGAAATGCAACATCATAGACAGTGAACCTGAAGACTTCTTTGATTCTGGTGAACTTGTTGTCTCTCCTACTCCTGCTTTGGTGATATTGAAGCATATGGGTTTTCCTATGTGATGCATAGCTTTGTCTTACAGATTTTCGCTGATGAACCTGAGCTGGCTAAGAACTGTTACAACAACGCTATCCTACAACCAGCCCTGTGAGCGGATGGTCTGCAGAAAGCTCAAGGGGCTGCAGGCCCACTGCAGCTTGGCTGATCCACAGCGGGCTCACCCAGGGAGCTATACAGAGCAGGATGTGAGTCATCTGGACTTGGCTGTGTGCGCGTCCTGGTTCTGGGACTGGGTTGGCTACCTGGAGCTTGCTCATCCCCAGAAGATCACTAGACTACAAGAGGTTATGAAGAACTACATGATGCCTCTTGAGGCCGCCCCTGTAACTGATGCACAGTTACTTCCACCCATTTTCCAGGGATCAAGGCCTACAACATAGCTAAATCCACTTTCAACAGAGTAGAGAGATACAGTCTGCCAACCGCGTAGAAGGTACTACAGAGCCACGTGGTGAAAAACACAGAGAATCTGGAAGAATACAAAAGAATCATCCTGCGACTTGATTTTCCCATCAGCATCACCATTTAAAGGGCCATCTACTTGATACTGTTTTCTTGCGACTTCACGTGAACTGCTCTGTGGAACCCCACTGTATCAACACACCACTCAGCCTTCTCACCTTAGTGCAGACTTCTCTGACAATCCCACCACTGCCTCTTCTCCATGTACAAATCAGGCCCCATAGAGTCTTTCTCCTAGCGACTGGGGCCTCCATTTATCACGCTGTTTGGAATATGACTGTAATAATTTGGTTGATTAGTCTCTTCCCCACCAGACGACAAGCTCTGTGAGGGCAGCAACCCTGTTTATTTTGCTCACGAGGACGCGTTGGGTGCCTTGCATAAAGGAGATCAAAAGGCATTTGCTGAATGAAGAGTGTTCCTCTCTAGACGTTTCTAGCTGCACGATTTTATCAGGATTATACAGCTGCGGGCATGGGTAAAACACGCAGGAGGCAGGATTCCACAGGCAAAACGGCTGTCAGCGGAGCAGGGAATGGAGTCGGGGCTCCTGGGGCACCCGACGTGGGAGCCGCCATCAGGCGAGAGTCCCTGCGGTCGGTGGCCTCTGTCCTCTGTCCTCTGTCAGTAAAGAATTAAGTGTGTGTGTTTATGGGGTTCAAGGTTATTTTCCTTTGAGAGAGTTAATTGATGGAAGGTTAAATAAAGCCACAAGTTTTTACTTAAAGGAAACAGAGAAAATGAAGAATGACTTTAATTTTGAGCAATGTGTCAGGGGAGATGTTTCCCAAATTAATCTTTTTTCTGGGAGTGAAACAAATCTCCCTATAATTCATTTTAATTCCTCTTTCAAAAACGAGACCCTTCTCGTACACACTCTCAGAGGGTTCAAGTCAGCTCCCACTCCGATGACAATAAACAAGGCAAATTAATTAGCCGCAGTCAAGCTTTTCTTCCCAAGGTGTTGCGTGCAACAGATGCCATTACTGTGCGGGGTGTGGGAGAGCCCTTTCCTGGGGGGCTGGTTCTCGACAGTGTGGTACCCCCACTCACCCACCCCACGTTTCATCCCGGAGGCCAAGGGTCGGAGAGGTTGGCCGGCCAGTCGTGTCTCTGAAAGGAAGGGCAGCCGAAACACCGCTGAAGAAAGCCGCGGGGCGTTCTGGGAGTAGTTGGCTAACACACACTCGTTCTTAACCTACCAAGACGCCTGCACGGCTCACAGCGGCTCCGAGTACTCCCTGAAGCCCTTCAGAGCGGGAAGTTAGTCCAGTCCCAGGAGTGGAGTAAACTTAAAAGGATGGAGTAGGCGTCGTCTTCCTTTCTCCTCCAACATCAACAAGAAAGAAAACCCCAAGATCTTTTTTTTTTTTTTTTTGGTAGAGGTCATTGCCCTCCCCCATCTCCCTAAAGGAAATGTTTTGGGGGTGGGATAAGAAAAACAGGAAGGGAGCGGGGGAGGAGGTTGGCATAGCAGGTTAAACTGCCACCTGCGATGCTGGCATATAGGCGCTAATTCAAGTCCCCGCTGCTCCACTTTCCAGTCCAGCTCCCTGCTAATATGCCTGAGAAAGCAGTGCAGATGGCCCACGTGCTTGGATCCATCCACGAGGGAGACCCATATGGAGTTCCAAGCCCCTGGGTGTCACAGAGCTCAGCACTGCAGGCCACCAAGAGGGTTCAGGGCGCGTGCTCCTCGTCCATGCCTCCTACCTAAATCGTCCACTTTCTGGAAACTCTGCCTTTGATTTCAGAGCTCGGTTCAGAGATGGTCCCCTCTGTGCTGGGTGCACGCCATCCTGGTCATGCATTCAAGCAAGCACTGGAATGAAAAGTCCACTCTGCTGTCTCTCTCTCTCTAGCCTGGGAGCCCCTGAAGCGAGAGGACCTCGGCTCTGAGACACCGGCGCTGACCTAAACATCTGGGGGAGATGGCAGAAAGACTGCTTCTCAACCACTCAGACGACCACGTCACGGTGTGGTGTTGGCCATCTCCCAGGCAGAGCTGGAGAGGCTGCAATGGATTTGCAGGGCAAAGGACAAGAGATCCCTGGTGCCGGCCACAAGACGCCTTCCTGTGTCTGTGGTCCTACCTGGGGCTGCAAGGTAGG